TCAAATACTATATAGCAATAAAAGGAATGAAGCACTGATACACACTACAACACGGATGAACCTTGAAAACATTATGTAGGCACACATTATATGTATGTGTATCTAACGTATATATACACAAAAGGTCACATGTTATATGATTCCATGTATATGAAATGTCCAGAATTGGCAAATCACAGAGATAGAGAGTAGATTAGAGGCTGCCTAGGGCTGAGATGGTTGCGGAGAAATGGGGAGTGAGTGCTAATAAGTACATGGTTTCTCGTTGGGGTTATAACAATGTTCTAAATTGATATTGGCGATGGTCACATCACCCAGTGAACGCACTAGAAACCAATGAATTTTACTTTTTTTTTTTAAGTTTTTATTTATTTATTTATTTGAGACAGAGAGAGAGAGACAGAGAGCAGGAGCGGGGAGGGAGAGGGAGAAGCAGACTCCCCACTGAGCAGGGATCCCAACATGGGACTCGATCCCAGGACCTGGAATCCGAACCTGAGCTAAAGGCAGACGCTTAGCCGACTGAGCCACCCAGGTACCCCGGATTTTACACTTTAAATGGGTGAATTAGATAGTATGTGAATTATATTTTAGTAAAGCTATTAGTAAAAAGTCCTCAAGATCCTGGACAATCAGGAGGGTTGAGAGGCTAGAAAGTGATCATTTGTGGTAGGCAGAATAATGACTCCCTGAAGATGTCCAGGCCCTAATGTCTGGACCTTGTAAAAATGTCACCTTATGTGGCAAAAAGGACTTTGCAGATGTGACTAAGGATATGGACTCTGAAAATGGGATATTATCCTGGTTTATTCGAGTGTGCCCAGTCTAATCATGTGAGTTCTTAAAGGAAGAGGACTTAAAAAAAATGGGGTGCCTGGATGGTGCGGTTGGTTAAGTGTCTGACTCTTGATTTCAGCTCAGGTCGTGATCTCAGGGTCATGGGTTCAAGCCCGGGGCTCCGTGCTCAGCAGGGAGTCTGCTTCTCTCTCTCTCTCTCTCTCTCTCTCTCCCTCTCCCTCTGCCCCTCCCCCTGCTCGCTCTCCCAAATAAATAAATAAATCTTAAAAAAAAAAAAAAAAAGCAGAGGCCCTTTCTCAGAAGGGTCAGAGAGATGAGCCCAAAAAGGGAGGAAAGATCAAAGCACTCAACCTTCTGTGGCTGGCTTTGAAGACTGAGGAAGGGGACCATAAGCCAGGGAATGTGGTAGCTTCTAGAAGCTGGGAGTGGCCCTCAGCTGACAGCCAGCAAGGGAACAGGGATCTCAGTCCTAAGCCACAAGGAACTGAGTTCTGGCAACATCCACATGAGCAAGAAAAGGGCTTCCTAGGAAGAAACACAGCCCTGCAGCCCCAGGGTGTTAGTCCACTGAGACCCTTGCTGGACTTCTGATCTATAGGGCTGTGAGATAACACGTTTGTGTTGTTTAAGTCACTAAATGGTGGTAAATTGTCATGGCAGCAGTAGAAACACAATACGGAGCTACTTCATGTGGACTTTATGAAGCCAATCTTTAGGTGGAAAAAAAGTGCTGAGCTTTCTCATGTCTGGGGATGAAAAGATCTACTCGTAGCTGAAAATCCACAACACCTGTTCTCCCCTCTCCCCACCTGGTGCAAAACACCGAGTGAACGAGAGGAGCTTAGTGAGTGGTTCTGAAAATAGAAACTGCAACGTGATTTTATTTCTAACTCCACAGACATCTCTTGTGAGTCATTCATCTTTCTGGGTCTCACTTTCCATGTCTGTGAAGCAGGCTGAGTTAACCCTGACTTCTGCCTACCCCACAGTTTAGGAAGATGAAAAAATCAGCTTTACGAAGAGAGCCGTAGGGTGTTCCTTGAGAAGTGGGAAGCCACAGACATGGTCTGGGTCTCAGGAGGCCCCACGGGGGGAGGCATTGCTCCTTTCTTCTGACTTCCTTCAGAGGATTTGGGGCACAGCTGGTCCCCCGTGGTGTAGGCTGGAGTGTCTTGTAGCTGCTGCGAGCACAGAAATGAGAAAAGCTCCAGGGAGGCAAATGTGCAGAAGCCAGTCACAGGCCCAAATGGAAAAGGTTTTAAATTTGTGCGTTTGCGGGGGGGCGGGGGGGGCAATAGTCTTGCACCTGGATGAGACCAAATTGTTTTCATGATGGAAAGAAAGCAAAGCAATGGTCCAGATCAGACTAGAAGGTACAGAGTCAGGACAAGCCTGAGATAAGGACTTTGAAAGTGAGGGAGAAGGGTAGAGAAATGAAAACGTCTCAGGGATGTGTGGGAGTGGAAGGACCTCCAGCGGATAGATCAGTTGGGACATCTTAGGCTCATTTCCCATCACTCTTCAGACCCTGTCCCACTGACTTAAGAGGACACACGCATTTTCTTAGTAAGCTGCTTACAACTGGGGCACCTGGGTGGCTCAGTTGGTTAAGCGGCCAACTCTTGCTTTCAGCTCAGGCCGTGATCTTGGAATGGTTGGGTCAAGCCCCTTGTGTATTTGGGCCGGGGGGGGGGGTCTGCACTCAGCGGGGAGTCTGCTTGAGGATTCTCTCTCCCTCTCCCTCTGCTCCTCCTTCTGCTTGTATGTGCATGCACTCTCTCTCTAAGATAAATTAATAAATCATTTTTAAAAAGCTGCTTACGATTGACTTGGCTATGGGATATTGTTTATTTATTTATTAAAGATTTTATTTATTTATTTGAGAGAGAGAGCACAAGCAGGGGGAGTGGGAGAGGGAGAAGCAGGCTTCCCGCGGAGCAGGGAGCCCGATGCGGGGCTCGATCCCAGGACCCTGGGATCACGACCTGAGCCGAAGGCAGACGCTTAACCGACTGAGCCACCCAGGTGCCCCCATGGGATATTTTTGAAGATGCCCTCAAGGTACCCACAGATCATCCTTGTGATGGCTGTATTAGGGACCTGGGAAACATCCCCTGGGCTCATCTCAGTCTTTGAGCACCTGCCTTCTCTCAAGTTTACACAGTTGTACCAGGCACAGTGCACCCAGGGTTACAGAACATGGGAAGGGCTCTCGGTTAACAGTCCTAGCATCATCCAGACTGGTTTGGCTGGCCCCTGCCCCAGACCCTCCTGCCTACTTCCAGCCCAGTGGGTACCTGGCTCCTTGACCCTCCGCCCAGGTCCCACCCAGTATGGCCTTAATTCTTCCTGAGGCCTGGCAGCTCCCAGCAGGCCCCCAGCTGGCCCCCTGGCCTTGGTGAAGCGGGGCCCTGCCCCCTTCAGCTTCCCAGCCTTCCTGGAACCCTCTTGCCCAATATCCTGTGTGGTAATCATGCCGTTTGGCCCCACTCAGTTTTGCTGGCCACTGCCAAGTTCCCTCTGCCAGTTCTCAATGCTCTACCTCTAATGGAACCTTCATGAAATAAAAAGCTGCTACAAGCTTTTCCTCTCCAATCAGAATCCCTCTCCTGGGTGGTCTGCACTCTTCAGCAGAAGTGACCATGCATCCACCTGTCCCTGTGTTGGGAGGAAGGTGGGTCTGGAGAAGGGACAGAGCTAAGATGCTCCAGGAGTAGGGACGGGGTTAGGGGGTCTACATCCAGGAAGTGGTCCTGGGTGGCTCTGCCTTCATTAACCCGAGGCCACTCAGGATCTTCACTCAGAAAGGAGGAGCTGCCTCTCTCATGGCGGGGCGCCACTCGGGGCGCTGAGAGCCCAGTGGGGCTGGGAGAAAAGCAGGCGCGAGGTTGCTGCGGGGTGACGGTCAGATACTGCACGACACTGGTGAGGACAGGGGTAGAGGATGGCGCGTACCACCCACTGAGTGCTGAAAGAAGCAGCTGACCACGTCATCTCATGTACACACCCCGCCACCAGCCTACAGGGAAGGCCTAGTCGCATTTACTGTCTTGCAAATAAAGCCACACGGGTGCAAGCTCCCATTTACTGAGTACTTGTCGCAGGCCGGGTCACCGCTGAGGCACACCGTCTCCTGGTCCCTATTGTACAGGGTTGGGTCTTCAAGGTCACAGGGGTGTAAGCAGAGACGGCCACAGCGCGCTCTGCGACCCTTAAGTCCCCACTTCGGGGCGTTGGAAGTGGGATGAACCCAGCGGCTCGTTGTACAGACGGAGAAAAGCAAGGCCTGAGGAGGTCAGGTAACCTGTTCCAGGTCCCACAGCTCAGGCCAGATGCTGGGGAGGACCCAGCCACCCGGCCGCCCGGCTTCCTCCACGACACAACCACTTTCCCCGGCCACTCGTGTGTCTGTCTCGTAGGGAGCCCCTCGGAAGCACCGCAGCACCCAGCGCGGCCGACCGGACCGCGGAGAGCCGCTTGCCCGCCCACTTGGCTCTGAAGTCCCGCCCTATCCACGCTAACCAAGAAGCCATTCGGGAGGCCCCGCCTCCCCCCACCCTTCGGAGGACCCCGAGCTAGGGGGCGTGGTTTCGCGTGCGCCTCCGCCCCGCGCCCCTCGCCCGGGAGCCGACTGCGCGCGCGCGCGCCGAGGTCGCGGTGGTCTGGGGC